CGGCCTCTTCATTGTTCGCCGGCTTCCAGCCAGATTTTTGAAAGCCATCCCAACGTTGATTACGTAAATTCTCATCGATATCGGGAAAGGCACATTTGAATTGATCGGCAGTCACCTCTGATTCCGCATTTCGAGGACTACGGTCGATGCTGCGAGCGAAGGCAACGCCGACAAGAAGAGCCATAGCAAGTAAAAGACTGATCGATTGCATTTTTCTTGTTCTTGTTGATTGAAGAGTGAGGAAGAAGTGTTATGTGAAGAATGAATGTTCGAGTCATTTTTTTATATACTTCACAAGAGAAGGTAATATTATATCCCTCGCAATAGACGGTAATAAAAGTTATGTGTCATCTTACACACATTGACGCATTCTTAGTAATAAACAAGAAGAAGAAGTGGGTGATGGCGTTTTTATTGTGTTAGTTTAGTTTAAGCTTTTATTAAAGAATGGAGAGTAGCACAAGCGGCCGAAGCCATACAGCGCATAGCAAATTAAGTAAAAGGTAAAAATAAAAAAAAAAGAAAAGATGGAAGAAAGTAGTGGAGAAGATACGGAAAAACAAGAAGGGATAGGGGTAAATCACTCGAGAGTTTCGGGGCCAATTTAAATAATAATCAATAATAAAAATGAAAATGCGAAAGTGGAGGACTAAAAACGCCTCGTCTTCTCAATAAATTCAACGACCGAATTGAAAATAATCAATCTCTGATCTTCATCTCTATCAGTCTCATACAATAGCAATGTCCTAACGTCAAACCGAGTTAGAAAGCTCAATTTCTTCCTCATTTGTCTTGTTGCCCGTTTATAAACAGTGCAATCTAATAAATAATGTTGTATCGTTTCGTTGATCCGACAGGTAGGACAAAGTGGAGAAGAAACACACTTCCTTTTAAACAGATTACTATTCAAAGGAGGATTATCGCACTTCAGTTTCATAAAATGTATTTCAGCAGTCCTAGATGGAAAGGAAAGCTCCTTTGGAAATGCTTTAAGTAAGCGGCCATTCAAAAACTTCGATTTTAAACGCTCTCGCGTTGTTTTTGGTTTGCAAAGTTGAAACTTAGATTCTAAATGATTCCACTCTTTACTTACTATTCAATGAAAGAAAAAGATCCTTGAGACATCATTCGATGAAGGTCGATATTTGCGTTACATTATCGTAACGTGATGATTCGATTTTTTTGGCCGAGTTTTGCTCTGTTTCTCTATCATATTCGTCGCTGTATGAAAACCAACAGATAATACGTTTTGAACATCTCCATGAAAGGTGTGGATTAGCGTAGAATTGCCTCATGCTAGTCAACTCTCTTGCGTCCAGTAACGTGCAACAAGTCTCGAAATTCACATGACCAAAACATCGGAATTTCGGTGTTTGCCTGGGAAATTCGAGAAACTCGAGCAGAGATATTTTGTTTTCAATCGAAAAACGCAGTCAGAAGTCTATTTGAACACAAATCAATACGATCGGATGCATATTACTTTATGATCATGCGTTTCGAAGCGTAAATTTCGAAACAGGATGATTTCAAACTAGGCTACTTAGAAGTGGCGCGTTACGCGGTTTAGCCGAAATATACAATCTTACCCGGAAATAAGCTTGAAGAAGGAATGAAAACAAGAGAAACTCCAACTCTTTCGCCAGACGCTATTTACATACGAATTTAAAAACGATGAAAATTATCGATGATTTTATTTATAAATGAATCAAGCATTACATGTTAATTTATTGAAGCCAAGGTGGAGAGCACCGATAAATTTTTTTCCTTCTTAATGTAATTTTTTTTATATTTATTATTCTAATTGTTTGAATAAAACTATCTTGAGGGTGTGAGGTGAGGATGAGGATTCGTGTGAGTTTAAACAAATAGCTACTATATCCTACGTTTTTTAGCATATTGAGTCAAAGATATTATTGTTGAACGACGCTGGTATTTAAATCCACAGAGAAAGCTAGCAAGATTAAAAGTATGGTCAATGAATTTGATAACAAAGTCGGAAAGGAAATGAGTGATGAAATTCCTCATTCTATGTGAATTTCTTTTCGAACCAATTGGTTACTCGAAATTAACTCAAATCGCACTAAATATCTATTATTTTGATATATATCAAAAGATAGCATTAGTTAATATTGGTAGAATTATTAAACTAGCAACTAATCTTTCATCATTGATATTTTATGAATCTATTTCTAAGCAACAATTTACTAAAGTTAGTAAAGCTATATGTTCAATTATTCCACTGAATATAAAAGATTTACAAATGCCAATATCCAATTTATATCAATTACAAATATATTGTTAAACGATGTCAATATTTATCAACATTAGAGTTGAATACAAAAAATGCTCGATCGATTGATGAAATAATTGGATCGTTTACAATAAATACAATTGATTCAACGTTTCGAAAAGATAATTTATTTGTTTCTATATGGATTGGAAAGAAAATAATTAAATCAGATGAAATTAGACAGGATAGAAAACGAATTAAATTCTCTCATGATCAAACTAACTTTTAGTTTTTTTAAAAATTATTTTTAATAATAACTGCTTATCGTATTGAGCATGATTTTTGCTAAGATAATCTAAATATATTATATGCAAAGATAGTGGTAATTGTTACAGATGGTTTGGCATTTCCTCCTTGCGTCTCAGATTCCTGCTATGTGATTGGTACATAGACATGCGTCCTACCATCATCGATAAACGTGAGCAAACAGGTGAAACAGATTGTGGATCGTACTTTCCTTGCAACACTCAATATACGCGATGTGGTAGAGAATGGAATTGGCCAAATGGTATTGCTTAAAAACAGGGATGTAACAATCAAGGGGGAAATGCTGATTGCAATCAAAGCAATCATTGGTAATCTTTAGTAATCATTGGCAATCATTGGTAATCATTGATAATCAAAGTAAATCAAAGCAATCATTGGTAATCTTTAGTAATCATTGGCAATCATTGGTAATCATTNTAGTAATCATTGGCAATCATTGGTAATCATTGATAATCAAAGTAAATCAAAGCAATCATTGGTAATCTTTAGTAATCATTGGCAATCATTGGTAATCATTGATAATCAAAGTAAATCAAAGCAATCATTGGTAATCTTTAGTAATCATTGGCAATCATTGGTAATCATTGATAATCAAAGTAAATCAAAGCAATCAAATCTTCAGCTTTTTTCTCCTTGGGTTGGCCCGCCATTGCTTCCAGCAAAGCACTCTAAGAATTTCTTCGCTCAATTCTATACTGTAGTATTTCGAATTATCAAAAAAATACACATATTCGACTGACCTTGTCAAATGTTTGTTACTGTTCTGTCACCATACAGAATGATTAATGATAAAAATATACTTTTCGTCCTTTCTTGGCGACACATATTGACGTTGAATTGATAACATAGCAACATATCGGTGAATATTATCGCTCATAAATAGTTTTTCACCTAAATAAATACACGGTATTTTCTCTGACGTTAAATATTTGTTTGAAGATGAATCAATCATTGAGTTGATAGCATGGCACAATAGCCGGTCTCCTTACAAAATTCTTTCATGCAAAATAACTGCTTGAAAAAAATTCAATCTTCATTTTTTTATTACAAATTTGTAAAGGCTATCTGCCTGAATATATATTGCACACAATCAATAGCCTTACACACTTTATATTTGTTGGCTAATTGTCGTATATTACATATTTATATAAGGCTTTAGAAAGCATCGACAGTCGGAAAGCGATTTGGCAGAAATGAATATTAATTACTTTATAATTGAATAAAAGTACTTTTTTTTAAAATAAATCTAGTTTTTTTCATTGTGTAGAATTTAATAAAAGTAAATATAAAGAAATGTTAGGTAATACTCGAAAAAACGATAAAAAATAGGAAGCTGTGGAGGTCTTATGAAATTATCGTTGCTCTGAAAAATCTTTTGTTTTGAATGTGTCGTATGAACATAGACGAAAGATGTGATTATTGTCACATTTTCGTTTCTTCAAAAGAAAGTATTAGACAATCAAAAGAAAAGAAAGTCAACCATACGAAGCTCAGTGTAAGATATTGAGCTATCTTTCTGATACAATCAAATTTCTAATAGTCCCATTTCACTGGAAACTGGATTAGAGCTGTTGAGAAAATCACTAGAGCAGAAAACCAATCACATACTTTGAAATGAGTCTCGATCAGATCTTGAAGAATACACTCTTAGCTACAAAATGAGACATCTCTCAACTCTGCACGGTTTCTCATTCAAATATTATAAGATCAACAAAACGTGCAAAAAGTAATGCACAGATACGGTACGCGGAATGACTGTACAGTTCGATGAAAAAACGTTGTGGAGAGTTCGGCGACGTCTAGTTATGTTCAAAAATGTTTACTCTACATGAAATGGACTATTTACAAGAGGTTTCCATTTGAATCCCAGAAATTGATTGTTTTAGATTTTCTAAAATCTTAGTTTTCCGATGAGCACGTTTGTGTATTTTAACGGATGATTTTAACAGAACAAACTCTGCTATATCATATATTCTAATATATACAAACAATAATTATATTACAATTATACTGAAAAGAAAAAAAAGAAAAATTAACATTTATTTACAATATCGGGTGCGGCATAAAGAATGATGCCGTCAGCATTTCGTCAATATCTCGATGAGTTTTCATCGTAGAGGCTTGACCTTAGTCTTAAAAGATTCTTCATTAAATTCTCTACAAAACCATAAGAAAAGAGCACACACAATAAGTAACCGTGGCTGTCAGCACTGCTATGTCCCAAAAGGAGGCACTTTTCAACCACTATTACGTTTTGTTTTTATTTTTTCGCCGTACTTTTGCAGCATAGAGGAAGACGGAAAATGCCGTTTTGTAGCCCTTGCAGTTGTCTATTAGTTGGGAAGCGACTGATAAGTTCTTCATTTGAAGCCTTTGTGATCGAGGCCTTTTTCATTTTATTTCATATTCGGTTTTCTACGCCCTTCTAATGGGGCTCATTGTAAATTTTGTACAGTTAGGACAAAGTGAAACGTTTTCTTGCGAATTTTGTTTTGCAAAGCTGCATAAAAATGTTTTCTCTATCATCTCTAACCAACACAACTGAAGTACAAGTCTTCTTTTGGCACCCATGGTGCGCGATAGAAAAATGCTTCCTGGTTCTAACTCGTTTCCAAGGAAACCTGCCCCAGAAAACTCATTGTATTGCCTAAGAG